ATAAGAAGTTGCAAATCTTATCATAACTATATTTTGAATCATGATTTGTATATACGAATTTTTGTATTTAAATGATATTACATATACATATTCTACTATTCTTTCAATGTAAATTTATTTAGAAATTCATGGTTTATCTTTTATCACTTTACGTACCTTTGTATTTTCATGGATTGAGTAATGAAAGCATAAATTGTAAACTTTTGCCAATTTTTCATATTAGAAACTTAAAGAAATTTAGTTTATATTTCTTCGTCATTATAACTTTTGCATATTTCATAAATAAAAAAGTGTGTTACAAACTCTACATTTACAAAATCAGTCTCACCCTCTCTTTCATCTGATTTGAAAGTATCAGGAATGTTTTAAAGTTTATTAATTTTATCAAATTCAAATAATTATGGTGACAAATTAGCCATTTTCTTGTACTTGTTTTGTTTTGATGTAGCTCCTAGGTCTCTTTTTTTTTTTTTTCTGTGCTTTGATGCAAGTGATATCTAGTCTGTCAAAGTAGGTTTCTAAGATTTTGGTTTCACTACGCCAAAAAGAAGTTGTGAAAGTAGTTTTGTTTTAAATTAGAGAACTAGTCTAAAATCTTGGCTATCTAATGTGTTGCATTTAAGAGAGCGGTTAAACAACTACTCTCAAATGTTAAGATTAGAGAGCGGTTACGCGAGAACTATTAAAGACTTTAGAATACTGTTTTTTGTTAACCAATGTGTTTCATTTATAAAAGTTAAAGACTTTAGAAAATTGTTCTTTGTTAACCGCTCTCCAAAAGTGACTTTAGCAAGCGGTTCTTTATTAACTATTTTTCAACGTGTGACTTTAGAGAACGATTGATCACTTTCAGAAGTATAGATCTGAGAGCGGTTCAAAGTTAACCTCTCTCTAAATGTATTGCTACAAAGCGGTCTCTACTGACTGCTGTCTGATAGCCATGTCGCAGTGGTATCAAAAACTACTAAATTCCTCACAAAAACATGCAGTTCAGGGAGCAACCTAAGTCATATCTCACAAGGATGCAATTGCACATTGTTCTAATCTCAATTATGCATGAAAGGTTGTATGTTTGGGGGTTTAAATGCAGAAACTGAATTACAAAATTAAAATGCAGAAAATGAAATTACAAAGAATGAAATCGCAGAGAATTAAAATGCAGAAAATGAAATTGCACAAAATTGGAACCGAAAGTTAAAATCGAAATCCAGAGCACAAAAATCCAAAACTAAGATTGAATGAAAATCAAATTTGTTTAAATCTCTTCTGCACAACAAATAATTAATCAATTGATTGTTATACGATTAAGAACAATGCACAATTCAATTGAACAATGCTTCTATACAATCATAAAAATGTGAGATCGGAAAACAAACTCGGAGCATCAAAAACGTCTTGAACAAATGCGATCTGGACTTTGGCAATGAAATTGAAGGGAGAACATAGCAGAAATCATCTTGATTTTGTAGAATCTTAACTGTCTTTCAGTTGTAATTGCAAAGGCATACGAATTCAGAATGGAAAAATGCAAGAAAAGAAGAAGAATGGTAAAAAAAATGAAAGATTCTATTAGAAGCGGGAAAGGTATTGCAAACTGAAAAATGAAAAAATGAATCAAAAGTTCTTCCCAATCAGCCCCTGATCTCTATAAATACTAATCCTAAAAGAGCAAAAACCGAGTGGGCCAAAGTTGGGCCGAAATTAAATACAAACGAACTGCAAAACAAAAGCAAAATAAAAACTATACAATAGTCAACTAAAAGTCTAAACTTCTAAAATTCGTAGAAAATAGCCCCGGACTCCAAACAATATGATCCAGATATCCAAATTAAAGCCCCCAGAAGTAAGGAATCCAATGCAAAAAGAATCCGCCAAAAAGAATACCTACAGAAAAAGTTATGGTCAAATTAGTAACCAAAGGTCAGAATAGAAAATATGAACAAAAGTATAGTATTTACAAAAATTCCTAATTATCAAGATAAATGCAAAAACATATGAAATGGAAGAAATAAGGGAATGAAAAGTCATGCAAAGGATGCAATAACACTAAAAATGTGGGAACAAAATATGAGCTATCAAATATCCCCACACTTAAGCTTTTGCAATCCCAAGCAAAAGAAAAGAAAAGAAATGAACACAAAGCAAAATTTTTCAATGGTTCCCAAAGTGTAAGTAAAGTGAGCAACAAAAATCAGCCAGCAATCAAAGTATGGAAGAATCAAAACAATCAAGAATATGCTCTAACATTAAAAGTAAAGAAGAGTTTCAATCAAATCAAATTATGGATCACAATTGATAGAATTCTCACATAGATGTGTATCACTTAATCTCTCAAGTGTCTAGGCAAGAAATTTCACTCAAAGCACATCATGAAAGTAAGTAATTCCATAAGCTTGAAGAGCTTCTAATTTCTACCATTTAAAACACATGCACCAAAGATCAATAGGACTTTAATTAATCTTGTAATGTGGCTAAGGTAAAGGTAAGATAAAAGAAAGTGAACAAAGCTAAAAACCAAAGAGAAATAAAGAGCAATGGGGAATGGATTAAAAACAAGTAAAAGCAAAACAGCAACACATCACAATAATCAAGAACACATGTACAAAATCTAGAAATAGAATAGTACTTTTTACTTTTTTTTTCGTTTTTTTAAAATTTATTATTTTTATTTATTTATTTATTATTATTATTTTTTTACTTTGAAAGTACTGCACTGTTTTTATACAATCCACTTTTCTAGTCAACCTACAATGCATCAAAATATGCTCAAAGCAATATGTACAAAACACCCCCACACTTGTTTTTAACCAATTCCCAAAACAATTCCAAAGCTCATCTATTCCCAAAGGTTGGGCATATCATGGTTTTTCAAGTTACATGGCTTGTAATGAGCTGCAAAATCATCAAGAAAAAGGTCAATAAGGCTCAAAGGGGATAACCAATGGAATACATGCAAGGTAAGTCAATTTGGCCAAGTGGCTAAAATCAAAAGAAGGCCTAAATCATATCAAAAGTGCATGTGAATAGATGACATCAAAAAGAGTCAATTCAAGCTCAAAAATACCTACAAACATGAGTGAATCACACAAGAAAGAAGATAAGCTCAAATCTCACTAAGGCATGCATTCTACCAATTAATGATCCACAACCTAATCATTATGAAAAACTAGCTAAACTCAAAATGCAAGAAACACAACTATGAAGTTATGAAACTTCCAACTAAGAATGGCAAATGAAAAGATGCTCACAAGAATGAAGTCTCTAAAAGCAAAGGAATCCAATGAAAAATATGCTAAGGACTACTCCCTCTATTATTTATCTGGGCTGCATCGAGAGTTCTAGAGGCATAGGCAATAACATGAGGAAATTTACCAACTCTGTAAGATAGAACAGCTCCAAGTGTATAGTCAGAGGCGTCACACATCAACTCAAAGGGGAGCTCCCAATCTAGTGGCTGCATGATAGGTGTTGTGGTGAGTCTCCTCCTCAACTCCTCAAAAGCCTCCTTACACGAATCAGAGAATAAGAATGGTACGTCTTTCTGCAGAAGACTGGACAGCTGCAGTGCAATGGTATTGAAATCTCTGATAAATCGCCTGTAAAAACCTGCATGTCCAAGGAAAGAACGCACCTCCCGCACAGACGTGGGGTAAGATAGAGAGGAAATAACATCAATTTTCGCCTTATCGACCTGTATTCCCCTCTCAGAAATAAGATGTCCTAAAACTACACCTTCTTTTACCATAAAATGGCATTTCTCATAATTCAGCACGAGGTTAGTTTCAACACATCTCTCTAACACCCTGGTTAAGCTATGCAGACATGAATCAAATGAAGAACCATAAACAGTAAAATCATCCATAAACACCTCCATGCAATTATCAATTAAATCAGAAAAAACACTTAACATACACCTCTGAAAAGTGGCAGGTGCATTGCATAGGCTGAATGGCATCCTTTTATAGGCAAAAGTGCCAAAAGAACAGGTGAAAGTGGTCTTGTGCTGGTCCTCAGGAGCAATATGAATCTGCATGTAGCCAGAGAAACCATCCAGGAAACAATAATGGGATTTACCTGCTAACCTCTCAATGACCTGATCAATGAATGGGAGAGGGAAGTGGTCCTTTCTAGTAGCCTGGTTGGGTCGCCTATAGTCAATACACACTCTCCATTTGTTGGCGACTCTGGTGGCAACCATCTCATTCTCCTGGTTCTGCACCACAGTAATCCCAGACTTCTTAGGTACCACTTGGACAGGTGACACCCATGTACTGTCAGAAATGGGGTAGATGATCCCAGCCATCAGTAGCTTGGTCACCTCCTTCTTCACTACATCCAGAATGGTAGGATTGAGTCTTCTTTGGGGCTTCCTCACTGGCCTAGACTCATCCTCCAAGTGAATCCTGTGAATGCATACAGCTGGACTGATCCCAGGAATGTCACTCAAGCTCCAACCGATGGCTCTCTTGTGCACCTTCAGAACTTGTAGCAACTTCTCTTCCTGATCCTCCAGAAGGCTGCTGGATATAATTACCGGAAACCTCTGCTGCTCTGCATCCAGATAAGCATATTTAAGGTGATTTGGCAGAGGGCTCAACTCCAATGAACTTGGCTGCTGCTCTATAACTGATAATGGAGACTGTGGGGCTGTAGCAGCCATGGATATCACAGAATCTGGATTTGCACCTACAATGGAAGGCAAAACAGCAGAAGATATGGCAGTATTAATCTCAACACAAATGGAACAAATGCCACTATCACAGGTGCATCTTGGTAAAGCATCTAAATCTAAATCTAAGTCTGAAAACTGAGACAAGTCAAAATCTGAATCTACAGCAATATCGATACTAGAATCAAAAGCAGAATCAAAATCAGAATCGATTACATGAACTGTATCAAAATCTAAATCAGAATTTCTATCTACTACATTAATAAGAAAAACAGAAAAATCAGAACAGTCGGAAAGTATTGAATGGATCTCAGCCGGATGTCTCATGGCATCAAAGATATTGAAATGAACTGTCATCTCCAAACTCCATGGACAGTGTGCCAGTATGGACATCAATCTTTGTCTTCACAGTCATTAAGAATGGTCTACCCAGAATCAAGGTCGAATTCTCATCCTGCATATCAAGAATGTAAAAATCAGCCAGAAAAATCAATTGGTTAACTTTTACCAACACGTCTTCGAGCACTCCTAAAGGCTGAGCTGTGCTTCGATTTGCTAATTGGATAATCACGTTGGTTGGTTTCAAGTCTCCCAAATGCAACATCTTATATACGGCTGAAGGCATAACATTGATAGAAGCTCCCAAATCCAGCAAGGCACTAGCAAAAGAGGACTCTCCAATTGTGCAGCGAATGGAGAAAGTTCCTGGATCACCACATTTCTGTGGAAGGCTAGACTGGGACAAGGATGAAACTAGCTGGACATTCCTCTTCTTTAAGTTCCTCTTATAAGTACAGAGCTCCTTCAAGAATTTCACATATCGAGGAATCTGTTTGATGGCATCCAGCAGAGGAATATTAATCTCCACCTTCTTGAAGGTATCCAGCAACTCTTGGTCCATTTCTATTTTCTTTGGTGGAGGAACTTTGGTTGGGAAAGGAAGGGGAATTTGGTGATGTGGTAAATTATCTCGGACTCCCTCTTCATTTCCACTACTTTTACTAGCCTGCACTGGACAATTGGTCAGTTCCTTACCACTTCTTAAAGTAATAGCACTTACATTACCTTTCGGATTAACTACAAGCTGCGAAGGAAGTGCTGCAGACCCTTGTTGTTGTAAATTATTCACTGAAGTTGCCAGCTGCCCAATTTGGGTCTGTAAGTCCTGAATGGTGGCTGAAACGTTCTGCTGAAACTGCAGACTTTGAGTGGCCATTTGACTCATCAACTCCTCCAAAGAAGGTCCACTACTGTTGGGCTGTGGAGGAGGTTGTTGTTGAGCCTGATTTTGCTGTGCAGGCTGTTGTTGTTGTCTCATAGGAGGAGGCAGGTACTTTGGTTGTTGCTGCTGCACAGGGTGATGTTGTGGCTGGTGGTATGAAGGGTGTGCAGACTGCTGCTGGTACACATATTTCTGTTGTTGCTATGGTGCTGGTGGACCATACCTCAGATTGGGATGACTTCTCCACCCTGGATTGTATGTAGGGGAGAAAGGGTTATATTGCTGAGGTTGCTGCTGATGACTCTGGTGAGGAAGGTGTATGCCTGCTACCAAATGAGAAGGTTGGGCTGTCTCCTGCAGCTGAGGACAAGAATCAGTATAATGGTCACCTGCACGAATGCCACACGTTTGCTGGATCTGTGGAATTGCCTGGCCCATGGCTAATTGCCTCACCAAAGAAGTCAGTTCTGTAAGCTTGTTTTCCAGCCTTTGGTTATCAACTGCAGCAACACTGCTTATGGATGCCTCATGTACAACTCTAGTGGTAAGATTTCTGGAACTGAATTGCTGAGAATTTTTTGCCATGTTGGAGATCAAATATCTTGCAGCTGCTAAAGTCTTGTCCATCAAAGCACCTCCACTGGCTGCATCAATCATACTGCGCTCCATAGGCATCAATCCTTCATAGAAATATTGAATCAAAAGCTGCTCATTTATCTGATGGTTTGGGCAGGTCGAACACAGCTTGTTGAACCTCTCCCAGTACTCATATAAATTCTCTCCTTGCAGCTGTCTAATGCCATTAATCTCCTTCCTTATTGCTACTGTTCTGGACGCAGGGAAGAGTTTTTCTAAAAATCGCCTCTTCATGTCGCTCCATGTACAGATTGGTGTTGGCTGCAGGTACAACCAGTCCTTGGCTATGTCACATAATGAAAATGGAAATGCCTTCATCTTGACGAAGTCCTCTAGCACATCCACTGGTCGCATGGTAGAACACACCACATGGAATTCCATCAAATGTTTGTGTGGATCTTCTCCTGCAAGACCATGAAATTTAGGAAGTAAATGAATAAGACCATACTTCAATTCATAACTTGCTACTCCCTCCTGTAATTGTGGTATCTGAATGCATAAAGGTTGATGTCCAACATCAGGGGCAGCAAGCTCCTTCAAGGTTCTCTCTTGGTTGTTTGCCATGTTGCTTGTTTGTGAAGTAAACTGACTATGAGTAGTGTTGTGCTCTTTCCTCAATTTCAAAAGCTTCAATCTCGTCCTCTCTATCTCAGGGTCAAATGAATGTAGTATGCCTGGATTAGATCTAGTCATACAAGGTTAGGGTCACAAGGAACAACACACAAATCCTGAGTGCACAGAATTAGTTAACAAAGCAAGTACCATCAAAACACAAGCAATGGTTGAAGTGAGACCATGATAAATCCCCAAATGGTATAGGATAACACCACAAAAATTTTCAGAATTTTTGGAATTGATCTGATATGGAAACTGGAAGCCTAAAATCAAGAAAAATAGGTCAATAAATGCTTAAAAATAAAAAACTTTTAGAAAACATGCGATTTTTGAAAATCGGGGAAACCTCAACCATTGGAGCGGGTTGCAGTGAATAGGAAATTTTATTCTACCCCAAAGTTATGTGTCATGGAAAAAATTCTGACACTCCTAGCAAAAGTTATGACACTTTTAAGTTGCACAAAATTTTTCTTCACCACCAAGGTGTATCTCTTTCTCTACAAATGATTTTTCAATTCTACCAACTCTACACACTAATATACACTAAATGTAATGTGGAAACAAAAATTCAGGCCAAAATTCGACCATTTACTATTTTTTTGGAATTTTTCAAAATCAGTGAATAGTGGATGAATAGTGCAAGAATAGTGCAAGTCAGCAATTCAACATGCATACACTAAACTGATTTCTACTAGTCCTCTGTTTTCAGCATGCATACACTAAACTGCAACTTACACAAAATGCTATCACAGATCTATTGAACCTAGTCACACACACTCAAACACGAATTGAAGTACAACACCTATATATCATGCAATACAAACACATGCAACATGAATCATAACAGATTACACCAAATCACACCATTGCATAACAGAATAGAACAGAACACACCATATCATATGCAACTGAACAATTCATGAATCACAAATCATAGAACTACAATTGGATAACATAATCAAATGCATACGAACTATACTGGATACAGGACACTACAATACACAATTACAGAATTCAGAAAATAGAATTTACAAAATTCACAATTGAACTACACAAACACAGAATACAGAAAACACAATGCACCATTGAGTCAAAACAATACGAAATGCATCCCCGGCAACGGCGCCAATTTTGATAGCCATGTCGCAGTGGTATCAAAAACTACTAAATTCCTCACAAAAACATGCAGTTCAGGGAGCAACCTAGGTCATATTTCACAAGGATGCAATTGCACATTATTCTAATCTCAATTATGCATGAAAGGTTGTATGTTTGGGGGTTTAAATGCAGAAATTGAATTACAAAATTAAAATGCAGAAAATGAAATTACAGAGAATGAAATCGCAAAGAATGAAATCGCAGAGAATTAAAATGCAGAAAATGAAATTCAATAGAATTGGAACCGAAAGTTAAAATCAAAATCCAGAGCACAAAAATCCAAAACTAAGATTGAATGAAAATTGAATTTGTTTAAATCTCTTCTATACAACAAACAATTAATCAATTGATTGTTATACGATTAAGGACAATGCACAATTCAATCGAACAATGCTTTTATACAATCGTAAAAATGTGAGATCGGAAAACAAACTCGGAGCATCAAAAACGTCTTGAACAAATGCGATCTGGACTTTGGCAATGAAATTGAAGGGAGAACATAGCAGAAATCATCTTGATTTTGTAGAATCTTAACCGTCTTTCAGTTGTAATTGCAAAGGCATACGAATTCAGAATGGAAAAATGCAAGAAAAGAAGAAGAATGGTAAAAAAAATGAGAGATTCTATTAGAAGCGGGAAAGGTATTGCAAACTGAAAAATGAAAAAATGAATCAAAAGTCCTTCCCAATCAGCCCCTAATCTCTATAAATACTAATCCTAAAAGAGCAAAAACCGAGTGGGCCAAAGTTGGGCCGAAATTAAATACAAACGAACTGCAAAACAAAAGCAAAATAAAAACTATACAATAGTCAACTAAAAGTCTAAACTTCTAAAATTCGTAGAAAATAGCTCCGGACTCCAAACAGTACGATCCAGATATCCAAATTAAAGCCCCGGAAGTAAGGAATCCAATTCAAAAAGAATCCGCAAAAAAGAATACCTACAGAAAAAGTTATGGTCAAATTAGTAACCAAATGTCAGAATAGAAAATATGAACAAAAGTATAGTATTTACGAAAATTCCTAATTATCAAGATAAATGCAAAAACATATGAAATGGAAGAAATAAGGGAATGAAAAGTCATGCAAAGGATGCAATAACACTAAAAATGTGGGAACAAAATATGAGCTATCATTGTCTAAGTTAGCGTTTCAAAAACTCATTTTTAGTATAGTATTTTCTTTGTACTTTAAGTCCCGTTATATAAATAATAATAATAATAATAATAATAATAATAACAAATTATCAACTTCAATTTCTTATGCGCTAGTTAAGTCAGATTTCTTTTTCCTAGTTCAATGTTTTAATTAAAAGCTATCCATATTTTGCACAATGTCCCACGTGAAGAGGAATGGAAACTTAGTTCATATGCCTACATTATCTTAATAAAAACCTATCATTCTCATTGTAGAAAGATGTACTTTATTTTGGGCGATTCCCCTTTAACAAATTATAAATCTCTCTTATTGATTTCACAATTTGTTTAAAAAATCGTTGCTAAACAAATAATTATATTCTTAAATTATTTTTCCGCTCTTATCACGTCATTATAAAAAAATGAAATAAGAAATTAGAAGAAAACTTTCACTAAAATAGCTTTTAAGATCCTATTCAATGAACTAGCTTTTTAAATGACTTAATTTTATTTTCATCAATTAAATAATGATAAAAGTTCTATAAAATAATAGTACTTTCATTCCTATTTATCTGTTTAGGGCAAAAAAATATTCAAACCAAAGAGTCTTATTATTAATTTAATATTATTTTAAACTATTACATCGACAAATAAATAAAACAATTTTTTAATAATATATAAAGAGAAATGAAGAATGTATTTATATATATCCGAGTTTGTGAGCAAAGAAAAGTTAACGTGAAAGTGCATAAAGATAAGATAACTAATTCATCGAAGATTGATTTGCGGGCAAACAACCCAATTACTTGCCAAAATATGGAGCTGCACAGATCTCCGAGCAATAATTGAATCCAAACTCTCATATCCAATATTTAAATATAGTATCCAAAATCACAAGGGTTTAGATCTCGTGATGTATTCATTCAAACTGTTAATATAAATATATATACCCTCGTCTATATAGGGTGTGTTATATGATCACACAGTGGCACAATGGCTAGGGTTTCGAAGGCATGGTGCATTTTGGTTACCACACTGCATTTGTTGCACATCGCATCTTCAAATTTCATCGTCAAATCTCTACCAGGTTTTGGGCATCTTCCATTCACGCTGGAAACCGGGTGAGTCGCTTATTCATTGATCATGGTACATGGGTAAGGCTATAATTATTTATATTTTTATTTTCAAATATTATTAAATTAAAATACATTTATTTTCAATAAAGAAAACTACTAACTAATAATTAAGAAATTAAAGTGGATAAATTTGACCTACTACAACGTATATACCCTCTAATACAGGTATGTAGGAGTGGGTGAAAGAGAAGAGGTGCAGCTGTTTTATTACTTTGTCGAGTCTCAAAGGAGTCCCATGAATGATCCACTCTTACTTTGGCTTATTGGGGGACCTGGTTGTTCTGGCCTTTCAGGTTTCTTATATGAAAACGGTAAATATTTATGTCATAAATTCTCTGAACTTCTCTAAAATTACAAAAAATAGTATTATAAATAGTATTTTTGCTATGTGTAGTTTAGATATTGTAGTTATTATTATTATTATTAGTAGTAGTTTACACATTGCATTGCTCAATGTTCTAATTAAATTAGACTTTGATGATGTGAGGATTCGGGTACTCCTCATACTCTCTTTAATTCAATTAGCTTTGTTTGCTGATACAAAAAACAAGTTTTGTCTTCGAAATGTTTGTATTTTGAAGTATTTTGGGTTGATAGCATAAATTCTTAAAAGTATCATTATGTGATTTAAGGTGATATTTCTCTTTCGCAGTCAATTAAAGCTAATTGTAACGGGGATTACATCCATCTTAATCCAAACAATACAAATTGCATGTCAGATTATGAAGTTTACTCAGAGGTGAGAATCTTTTACAATTTATTTATATTTTGAACTGATTTAATTTAATTTTATATTTTTGTCTTGATTCTGAACTGAATTTGAATTTGTTTATGATCTATCCCAACAATTATTTGGGCCTGAAAAGATTGGTTCAGTCACCGAACTCGTGGGACTCCATTACATTAGATAGTGTTGGCAATTAAAATAAATTGCCAAATTGATGAATACTATTAGAATACTCAAGAAATAATTTTTCTATTGAAAAACCAATACACTTAATTACTTAGAAGACTTTGACTTTATTAATAACCAATTAGACACTTAAACAACCAAAAAAAACTCATTGAAGTTTCTTTCTAAAATAAACATCGTACAACAAATACTAAGTAATAAACTATTTCACCATAAAACTTCATATTCTATAACATCTTCTATTTATAAAGTTTAGAGGAGGTCTTTTTGCTTAATAATTAAGCAAACAAATTCAACTTAAATTTGTTTTCTTTTATGATGATGAAAAGTTCAACTTGAATTTATCTTCTTTTATGATAACGAAGAGTTCAACTTGAAATTGTCGTCTTCTATGATGATGAAGAATTCAACTTAAATTTGTCTTCTTTATAATGATAGTATAGCTCGTAATAAGTTGGCTTTATCTTCTAACAAGTTTAATTTCTAACATCCTCTCTTAAATTTGACTTGATCCTAAACATATTCTTTAACTTTAAGAACAAATTGACTTTGAGTGTCTTTGTGAAAATATCTACTACTTGATTTTTAGAAGCATAATACTCCACCACAATTTCTTTGTCTTTGATCAAGTCATGAATATAGTAATGTTTAATATTAATGTGTTTGTTACACCCATGAAACAATGGATTCTTTGTTAAAGCAAATGTTGATTTGTTATCAAAAAATATCTTTGTTG